CACAAAAAAAAAGACCCGTGTCCCTTGCACAAACTTCTATAAGAAACCAAACAATGTTGTGCCTCAGAGATATGTTCATGTTCATATGCCTGTCCAACAACAACAACCTTTGAAACAATTAGAGCTGCCAAATGTTAAGTTTCATAAAACTAGAAAAGTGGGAGAATGTTGGAGATGTTGTGATAAATGGGTTCAAAGACACAAGAGCAAATTAGTACCAAATATTCATATCATGCAGGAAGATCATACTGGCCGACAGCAAACTGACACTGAAGAACCTGAAATACAGGGAACAACACAGAAAATGTGATGTTCATTTCTGCCCAAACCATCAGTGGTGCTCTCCCCTTCCACACCCACTGTGGTCATCTATCTCAATGGAAAAAGAGCAGTGGCTCTACTGTATGCTGGGAGTACATCTTTTATGGATCGACAATTTTCGGTCCATTCCAGTTATACTTTGCTTGCACCTACACCTAGAAACATTGCAGCGGCAGGAGGTCTACTTACATGGCAAAACACGAGCCTCATGTTAAACATTGGGTTTGGGGTGTATAACCCGGGTAGCAGCAGCAGCAAGGTTCAACGTTCTAGTTTAACTTACACAGGAATCATGGGGTACTTATGATAACTTGCATATGAAGTTCAACATATGATCAGTGGTTGATCATGGCATCGGCGGCAAGGCTCCACAACATTTAGCTTGACTCTGGAAGGAACTTTTGGCTCAACATATGTCCTGATAGCCAAGAGCCCTTGACGAACTTCCACCATAAAATCCCCGTGCAACAGCATGCACTTTCCAATATTGTTGGTTAAACAACTATACAAAGGATGTCCTGTTGTGGTGTCCAATGTAAGGCCCTCAAGTGACGTTGTATTCTCAATGATATGGCATGTTAGCTCTACTAAGCTCTTTGCAGAGGAGAAACCAATAATCTTCACTGTCTTGAGGCTATCATGGCGGTGCCCTGGCATCTGCCTCAAATGTGATGTATCTCCCACGATTGATTCATGCAACATCTTTTTCTGCAAAACCTAGAGACGACAGGCCATATGGTTAGATTAATAATAATGCCATCATTGTAACTAATATCATTGCAATATGTACAGTAACTTACATTCATGACAAGGGTCTCCAAAGAAGGAGAAGCATCAAAAAGGGATATCAAAGAACAGTAGTCATAGGTCGAGGGAAATGTCAGTGTACTAAGATCAACATTCAAGTGCTTGAGATGTAAGAATTTGCTAGGTAAAACTGGTGTATCAATCATCTGCACAAAGACATTTCAGATCAATCATAATATCAGCAGTCGAAAGACAATCATACCATGCATATCAAGGATTTAGCATATACCTCATGACATGAACCTAGAGAAAGAGCTTCAACATAGCGCAAGCTAGACGGAAAATCAGCACAAACATAGCTGAGAACACCAGGAAAGGACAAGTCGAAATTCTTGAATTGTAATCCTACTCCAAATGATAGTTGTACTTGACGATGTCCCCTAAACTGGAAATTAGAGAGGTTTGGAGCTTCTACCTCTATAACCCGCAGCATCCTGCCGCCGTCAAACACATCCAGATATCTGAGTTGTTGTAGATGAAATGGTATTTTCAAGCAAATTATCTTATTGCAAAACTTGAGTTGCATCCGTTGCAAAGCAAAAGAATTGTGAAGAAGGGACCCCAATTGGTCCCCTGTGATATCAACATCACTCAGGTCGAGTCTTGACAGGTTTTTAAAGCATAACCCGCTGGTGGGAGAGAAAGCACAACGAGAAATATTTAGATACCGAATCGTGTTTCCGCTCTCATTAGCTAAAAGTGACCACGGAAAGTTGTAATATATTCCTGACTTTGAAGATAGTTCCACGGTGAGTTCTTCAATTCCCGGTGTAACGGCATTCTGAAACCAACTGTCAATATTACAAACTTTTGGCATTGTAGAAACGGAAAACAATCTCAAGTGTCTTGGTGGCAGTGCATGGACGGTTTTTCAAAATGTGGTCAACTTTGCTAGTAAAATTTCTTGCTATTTCGTCCTCTCCACATGATTCTATATCTATGCCCAATGTTGTCATATTGAAAGCAAGGTTCGGATAGCATCTCCAAGAACGTTTAAATGCATGAGACACGCAAGCAGCTCGAGCAACATCTCGCATTGGCAGTAGGGAATATATATGACACCAGATATCCTGTATACACAAGCATGTGAGAAATTATTTCAAATGGACAAAAGAAATAAAGAAAACCATGTTGAGTAACATTTTAACCCAAGTGCTTGCACATGATTGCAACGCAATACAAAGGCACACCGTGCAATTGTGCTGACTGCTGAGTAAAGGGAGGTTACTTTTCCTCACTGTCTTGGTTCTAAAAGAATAGTAGTTGGTTCACCGTGCAATTGTGCTAACTGCTGAAAGGCACACTGCAGTAGGATTGTAGCAGGTTGCAGCACTAAGGATATGTTCGTACTAAATACTCCTATTTACCAAGCACAGCTCAACCAATTAGTATAGTTGGAGCATTCATAGCCCATCATCAGCGTTTCATGGCGTACCTCTGGAAGATGTGGCCCAAGGTATTGTGTTTCACCACCTTGGGAACAATGGTCTTGTTTGCAGGTAGAGTCCTTTCTGTCAACCGTTGAATCAGCTGGTCCATCTGCAATACATAATACATGATTACAGGTAGATACTTATAGAAGATTGCAATACCACCCAAGTATATCGTTGAGGGTGCTCAAACAAACAAAATAAGACAGGGGAACACATAATCCAAAGGATAGTCTTGGCTTCCCCTCTGTTGTGTTGCCAAGGATCGTCTCAGACCCCATACCGACTAAGCAAGGCAGCCACCTGCCAAGTGCCAACTTTAGCTTGGAAGACATATGGGGCCTCCTCAAATCCAATGTATGCTTACTGTGTAATATTTGAGTTGCTAAACTGATATTATAGCAAAATTTTCATAACACGGGTACATACGAACAGCGCACACAACATTTGATCTTTCCCCAAATTGAGCCATAAAATCCTTAGCTTACCCAAACAGTTTTATCTATGAAAAAAATGAAAATTTTACGCTCAAAATAGACACTAGGCTAGATCAACCTATAAGAATCTGCTTGCCTTACCTAGTCTTGTACCAGATGAAAATAACAGCGAGGCGGTGACTTACTATGGGGTTGGATTTGCAGGCGACGATTTACGCTCAACATTAAGAATATTTAATTTAAAAAATCAGGACCTGAACGATTATATGCATAAGCCTGATGGTTGCATATAATACAAAGATTGTTGAACCGGTGATTGCTAAGAGGTCAATTTCATGCATCAAATATAAACTGTAGTAGAATTTGATAATTCTAAGCTTGAAAGGAAACCTGGGTACAAAAATGATCTATTTGGTGTCGCCTTCTAGGAAATCTACCCTGTTCTGAAGGCTTGTGTAGATGAATTATTTTCTATGTGGAAAGATATACTTGTACACGCTGCGCCTTCGCCCGCTAATAGCGGCTAAGAAGCATGATCACCTAGAGCGCCATCACTGGATTTAACCAGAACAAAAGGCAAACAATTTTATACATGAATATCTATATGACTGCAGTCAGAACTAAAAGTACCCGATTTTAAATATGGGTTGGGTGGCCTGCTGGAGTGCAGTACTTGAGAGACTATGCTAGTGTAGTAAACATAAATTTGGCCGGTCAGCTTCTATAGGGAATGCAAAACACTTATGAAATAAGAAACAGAGAACATCTAAGCAGAAATAAGGTACATGTTTGCTTACGAATGGTACTAACATGATATATTTTCTGCCCGCCGGTAAGTTATCAAGCAAGATCATCAAATGTTTCTTTGTAGATCACATTGTGAGTATTGCCAACAGTTTTCAGGAGAGTTATTTTCAGTCAAAGCTGGAAGATGAAGACTGACTAAGAAATACTCACATCAGTCAAAATAAAAATCCTGGGCTGAAAATTTGAGATGTACATAACTACTACAATGTAGCAACGAACCCATACACTTTTTTCATTATCCCTGCTGCCTTTTGACACTCAAGCGGACATTTGTATTGGCGACTATAAGAAAACTGGAAAATATATTAGATAGAGCGGGCGGTGAGGTCCCAGGTGGGGGGAGTGGGGGAGGCAGCGGGGTGGCACTCGGTAGGCAGAGCGACCGACGGCGGTGTGATCGCATGCGAAATCATAGTCAGAACTTTGCATTTGAAGGTACACGCTCAGAGGAATTTTTTTTGCTCAGTGCCAAAAGTATCAAATGCCTAAAACTGAAAATCACATCCTGAACTGAGCATTTTATTGAGAATCGGCAAAATAAGTTAAAGACAACAGTACGAGAACAGGTGAACGGTGATCTGATTTCAACACAAAATACTCATGAAGAAATAAAATGGGTGGACAGTGGTTTGGTTTCTAAGCATAAAACTGATCATGTTTATGCCACACATTAAGCACATAATGTGTGCGTATTTGGAGCCTGAAACATCTACCAACTAAAACTACTCCCAAAAGCAACTTCAAGTTCAATCTTAAGACGTAACACATAAAGCTACAGACTACAATTTTGATGCACAGATTTAGCTCACTCAATCCAGTTTAGAGAGTACCCACACCCAATTCTGGAAAAAATAATGCGAGGCCCAATCCTCCGCTGCATCAAGCATCAACCATCATGAGATTGATTCCTTAATTGATCTGAAAACAGTTGCTTGGATTAATGTACTGTTACAACTTGATGTCAGAGGAAAGGAGGGATAAAACCTTGAGGAGCTGCATGTCCATGGCGTCCTTGACATCTCCTTGAAGAATCCCTTGACAACGGCGACCGTGATGGATGGGGAACTCCCATGGCGTGCCCCAACTGCATCTCCAGCAGAGAATATGAAGAGAAGGTGAGGTGTATGGGCAGCGAATCTCGGCCAATAAGGAAGGAAGGACGAACCTGGGACCACCGGAGACACGCCGGCGAAGCCATGCCCGAAACCCTAGCCATGGGTGTGTGGTTGCGAGCGGGCTGTAGAGGCCGGGAGCAGAGAGTCTGGGTGGAGGGGAGGGAGGCGCGGACCGTCGGCAGCTTGGGGCGTGCCGCGCTGCGCCGGAGGCGCCGGAAGCAGCCGGCATGGGCGGCGGCGGCGGCGATGACTTCATAGGCGAGAGGGAGAGGAGGCGAGCCCGTGTGCTCTGTGTGTGGTTGTGTTTCCTTTTTTCTTTACAGAACTGCTTGGACCGCGCGTTGAATAGTCCAAACGACAGGGGGTTTTACGCAAAAATGAATCGTTTTTCCTGAGTACCACTTAAACAAGGACCGCGGGTTGATTTCAAAGAAACAGCGGGGTTTTTTCGCAAAAACACCAGCGACGTGCGACCAGAAGCGATGCGTGGCTTAAAAAAGAAATAATGTTCCTTTTCCTGCCAGGCGGAGTGGTTCGTCGAAAATTCCATCCTTATACTGAGCATCATTCCATGAAAATGGTCGTAGTTGTCCCACATTTAATTGACTTACCAAATAAACTTATCCTTTTTCTTTGGAAGTCAATAAATGATTGCAAAATAAAATCCTAAAATATATTCAAATAGGTATATCATGGGCAGAATTTGGTAAACATTTATTTACAAAATCATATTAAAATATTTATATCCAGTTGCAACCAGCGGACAATTATTATTGTGTATAAAGAAGGACACTTATTTGTATGCATCTCTTCTGATTGTGTAAAACTCGATGAGTTTTCAATTCATTTTGTCATAATTACGTCAGTGACTTTGTCAATTTGGAGATGGTGAATGCATTGAAAAAGAAAAAGTATGATCCTTCTGGACACATGACATACATCTTTATGAACCTTATATGCACTTCACGTTGTATTGTCAATTTTTTTTATTATTTCTCTAATCCACTTCCCAAGTCCAAGCTCATCACCTTTATCAATGGTGCATCCAAATCGCAATTCCTCCTTCCACCCTCACCCACACACACTTGCATTTAAAACATGTAACCACACAATTATATTTGTGTCAGTAAAGGATGCTTGCAGTTTTTGATTGCTTCACGGAAAAAATACACACAAACATATAGAACAGTGAACTTGAGAAACTGGAAATACGAAAAAATACTTTCTTTCTCTAGATGCATGCAAGATGGAATGTATAGAAGCCAATTAACTAAATAAGAGAAATATCATATTTCTATTCCAACTTGGTTAACATCAACTGCACATGAATCAGTTAAGCCATCAGCATAAAATATAATATATGAACATCCATTATTAGCTTCAACATTTTTGCAAAACACAATGACTATAACTTTGTCGCCGGTAGCATCAAAAGTTAAGGCTTCAAGACAACTGATGACTCAACCTTCATCCTTTCTAGTAACCTCCTTAGCATTATGCATCATTTTGACAACCTGACAATACTTCACATGACAATTAGAAATCAAAAGACTGATCTGAATTAAAAATAGCATTGGTGCATACCTTATCTTTACGAACATCAACATGTGAACTAAAAACAGCGTTGGTGCATACCTTATCTTCACGAATATCAATATGTGAGAGTACCACATTACATCATCGGTGCTTCTTCAGGTGAACCAAAATACACAGATAGTCCCAAATGAATCGGTGTTCCCCTCACTCCACAAATCCATGCGGCTATTCACATTGTATCAAATAAATACATGAGCAAACAATACAACACAAGATCTCTCTCTCTCTCTCTCTCATCTACGCAACAGCAGCAACAACATATTTTAGTCGCACAATGATAATCACATCTAACATCTCTCCCTCCCATCCCTCTGCCTCTAACCAGAAAAAAGGACCAGTGCTCAAAACACTTACGCAAACCAGACAGAAGGGACCGGTGCTCAAAACATTGATGCAACAAGAGAAACAGAGAGTACATAGCACCAACATGCTCTTGTCGCAAACATAGTAGGAATGTACAATTAGTTGCAACCATCATCTGGTTTGGTTTCTCTCCATAACAAAGTATAGACCATAAGACTTGGGTTTTAAAACTCAACATTTCAAACAAGAAATTCATAGTTGTAATCAGATGGACCCACAAGTGCTTTTTCCATACATACAGGCAAGGACCAAAAAATACAAACATTTTAGTTAAAAAATGCAGCTAGGATCTTCATACACACCAATCACTTCGCGGTCTCCCCAATATGCTCACCACCGTGTTGATGGTACATCTAGCTCACAATCTTCTAACCCTCCTACAAAACAAAGGTATGTCAAGTGGTCAGACCAACATGCTGATTACTTTACTAAAATATGAATCAAATAGACACCCTGAAAATTTGGTACCAAGGAAAAATGCAGAAAAAATTATTGGAGCATAGATAGTACAACTGTAGCAAAACCAGACCTTTGGGATGTGTATTTTTTGGTGCTTCCGAATTCAACCTTGATTCTGGTTCAAACTAAGATTTGCATGCAAACAACTTTGACGATGCAATACAAGCATGCCGCTGAAGAAATTCTGCTTAAACTTCTGACCCTTTGTCATACCTATGAAAGATATTGTTGTTATGGTTTAACAATCTACAGTTCCTATCATAGAGACCTCTCAGGCCCTAGAATAGCAAGGACTGTCATTGCATACATCAAAATGTGTTGATACAAACTTTTGTGTACAATTATGCATACCTTCTTCTGCAGCAAGATCAATATATCACTGAATCACACTTCTGAACTTCTTCCTTCAGATTTGTCCCAGACATTTCGCAATTGAAAATTCACAAGAGATTTACAAAAGCAGAGACTAAAAAAGTACTTGACATAACCCAACATATGTACCTGAACATGTAAGTGCTTGGTCGGAGCAGACTTTGAAAAAGAGAAACTCCAATGCAATATCTATTGACTAATCATCATGTGTATGTTCAAGGTTACACTACTATCAGCTTGGTGATATTCTCCATATAATACCTCTCATCAGTCCCTCGTGTACATTGAAACACAAAATATTTTTTAGCCAATAAATATGTAAACCAAGAAGGCTTGCATCTAATACATCGGATTTACAGCAAAAGCTAGTTGTCTTATAAAACAGAGAAACTTAATTGGCAAAAAAACTTGTTGCATTCCATTTGCTTCAGGGGAATTACTTAAGGCAAGTGCCACAACTTTTATGATGATATCATGAACAGAAAAGGTCACTCTGGTTATCCGAATAACTTATGAACAAACATAATAAATTCTCATTCTGTTCAAACCGGCTAAAAATTTGGATACCAAGTCCACAATGGCTATAATTGGTGCTCCATTAGTAACCTCACATCAAGAACAGTAAAAATGTCTAACCTTTATTTTGGTAACCACTTGAGTAGCTGAGAATCAGAGGCAAAATTAAATCAAAGGGTCATTGGGCAATTGTATGAAAGCTGGCGACGCCAAGTGACTGAAGCATGTGTTGATTGATCTCACTGCAAAATAATCAATGGAATTGACTGTCAGGCATCAAGTTTCACCCATGAAGTTGACGACATTTTTGTGAGCTGAGTTGACAAATAACAAGAAGAAAACATAATTAGAAGCATCATTTTTGTGCCTTTAGTTTCTAAAAAAATGATGTACTGATGATTGGTTGCACAATATAGTATATGAGAACTGCACACATGAATAATATAGTGCACTCGACTAAATGCGCTGAGCAAACCAGTGGAACAACCAATTCCGTGCAGCTAAAATGATAAATCATACTATTACAAGCCATGTCGATGTGCTGGCGAGGAAAAGAATTGGGTGTGCCAGACCTTAAGAATGCACACCTGGGAAACTGAGTTGCCTTGCGTCCTTAACCAGTAGGCTCCATTGAAGCTTCTCAGCATGCCGGCAACAACGAGTGGAGGCGTAATGAATGGCGATCTAGAGGCAAGGCGTGAGCATGGAGAATAGCAACCCAGAGGCAGCACTTGGGCAGAGACCATGTCGGCGGCAGTGGCAGTGGGGCAGGAACGGAGCGCGACGAATGACAACCCTGATGTAGTTGCATACTGATGTTATTAATCCCCAAAATCTGGGTGTGTGCTTGTCCAACAAATCACCTAAGAAATTATTACAAAGGGGTATTGAAATCTGGTGTCCTGTAAACACAGTAAGCAGACATTGCAAACAACTCATCATATCAAAAAAATGTTCTGTAAATTACAACAAATCACTGTATTCATATTCGGTCAAAGTAATTAGGCATCACATTATGAGATTCTAAAATTGGAATGACTAAACATGATGATGCTAAAGAAATGGGGACACAAAAAGTCCTTGGCATTGGCTCCCATCAAATGCTATAAATGGCATGTTTGTGGTAATAGTCAGTCTGATGTACACAAGAACTTTAAATAAAGCATTACCAAATCTACCAATACTTGGTTCTGTAGTGTCATGCATGAAAAGCTGCACACAGGCAAGTTTTTTGAACAATAAATAGATATAGCATTTACACAAACATCATTGGGGAATATAAGGCTGCCCCCGTTGCAACCAACATGATTAGTTTTCAGTTACCGATGGTTTGATAGGATAAATATAGTCTGCGGCCATATCGCGTCCACTCACCACTGAAACTGCACACCATTATTCTTTTGTATAGAACAGGTCACAGGTCACCCACTCAAGAGAGCAACACATGGAGTTATGCAAGGATTAATTGTGATTCAAGAACAACTAATCACCATTATTATTGATTAATGGTTTCATCAGTAACCATTAAACCTTTCCTTGCTCTCCTGTTTCAAATATGGGTTCCCTAGCTTCCTCCTCCCTGACGTGTAGTAGTGCAGCTGATGAGTATATGTGTCACCATCAACATCGGCCTTGCACGCCATGTCCAGCATCTCGCACGGTCATTGTTGGAAGCTCATGATCCAAATTCCAAACATCATCTATCTTGCGCATTCAGCTGTCCAGCTTATCCCGCAACTTTTGTTCTAAAACTGAACTTGGCGACCCTTGAAGGTTCAGTCTATAAAACAGAAAACCATAACCGCCGGCCAATAATATGAATGAATGCCAATAAATTCAGCAAATACTTGGTACAATAGCGAAATCCATCACGCATGGAATTGGAGTCCAGGGACAGTGCCGGCGGCTCGACGAGATAATTGATCTAGTGTATAACATAATTTTTGGATC